CGTCCACAAGATACACATGTTTCGCTCACTTGGAGTAGGAGAAGAAAATATATTGATCATGCACTGCGTTTGTAAATGCGTGATACTTTTTTTTGTGACCTACCCTTCTAGGAGTTATAATGGATTAGGCACTATTCCGCATTCAAATGCTGCTAATCTAGGGCTATTGCTTTCTTTACCTTATCTTAGAACCTGGTGTGTCCGTAAACTGTAGTGACATTATGACGATTGCCTTAGAAAAGCAGACATTTCCCTTTTTTGACGCTGCCCGATTACACTTGAGGTACTCATCATGCAGAGCCACACAGAATGACACCCATCTGTTGATCAGCACTCCGCTAAATGGTTGCGGAACACTGGTCAATGAGACTGAAGATGATCTTATCTTCTGGAATGAAATCCGAACGGATGTGGTCGTTATCGACAATGTCATAACGAGATCACATGACATAAAAATTCCATTCTATTGTAGTTATTCGAGGAAGAAATGGGTCAACCTGGGTTTCAAGCCTCAGCACCTACACTTTGGAACAGAAGGTAAATGAAACTTTCAGGCTATCATTCCGATTACTCCAAATCCGCAATGTGTATATTAAGGAAGATGCTATCCATTTATATGGAAGGTAGAATGCAAAGTTGTTTAAGTCTGATAAAGATTCAGAACTTAACACGTTTATGAACTAATATGACTTTATCTTTTCCGATGTCTAGCTGGGTATGGTAACTTTACCTTTAAAATTGACTTTTACAAGAGTTCGTCATTTGCCACACCCTATACTGAGCAGGACTACCCTCTGAGCGTGCCAATCAGTCAGTACTTGTACGTGAGATACAGTGTAGAATCCAGTGCTGATCTGGTAATAATGGCCGTGACATGTAAGGCCACTAAAACTGGAAGCTTTTACTCCTGGCCACAATACTCTATTATACAGAACGGGTACGTATGGTACTCAAACATATTATTTAACTGATGTTTCTGGAAAATTATATAAGTTTCAGTCAATTTAACCAACGATTCTTTATTTCATATTACCTAAATTTCTTGCTACATACGACATATAAATGCTTTTAAAGGTTTGTACACGTAGTTTCTTTTGCTACGAATGATTCATTCTTAGTGCATAGTATGGAGGCGATCGCAGAGCAGTTGAGTATTGCGAAGAAAACAGAGTACTAGACCTGATCGAATAATCATTCTTAGGAGTAAATGGATGCCTCGATCAAGGACTTGAACCACAAAGGCCATTATCACATTATGTTTCCGGAAGCAAGCGTAATCTCAAAAGGAAAAATCTTTCCATATTTTCTTACCAAATATTCCAGCTTCTAAAGACTAAAATTACCCAGAGCAGTCTCGAGGGTAGTATACTAGTGGCTGAATGAATTAGAGAGAGAAAAAGAAGGATGACAATAAACAAAATGTCCTCCTACATGTGCGCATGAATTTCAACGTACTTCATACCTTCCCTACCTACAGTTGTCCGCAAGATACATCCATGGAATACAACTTTGATCCCAGGAGGAATTACCAGCAGTTTAAAATCAGAGCGTTCAGATTCTTCAACGATTACGATCAGGTTTTCATTCACTGCGAAGTTTTGGCTTGTCATAGATACTCTTCAAACTCCAGGTGAATTGACCAACTTGTACAGCTATACTGAGAGCATTCTTTTGATCGAATGTCGCTAAGGTCAGTTCTACACTCGAGCCAATTGGTCCACCCAGGCAGAGCTTTTCTTGTTTTCCTTGTCGCATGAAGCCACTAGGAGCATGACTACACCCAGCCCCATCCCCCCTGGATGGGGTGCTAGTCGATTGCAAGGTTACATCAGCTTTTTGGTGCCATTATATGTAACTTAACCTGCTTTACCAAAATAAATATATGTATGTATGTATGTATGTATGTATGTATGTATGTATGTATGTATGTATGCGTACCCCCCAAAATTTTATCGGGTTTCCCTGAAAACTCGCCGGTACTCATTTATATTCCCGAGTGGAGAGATGCCCTGTGAGAGTAAAGTGTCTTGCCCATGAACACAACACACTGATCCACCCAGGTTTCGAACCGGAGTCCAGTGCACTGACCATTAGGCACTGCGTCATGAATGCCGTTATTCCACCTGTCAAATCGAAATAATCACAGAGCCCAATAAGGAAAGGTTAGTCTTGTAATGCCGCTCACGTTTTCTCCTGGTAATGAGAAAACGTGAGTGACATTACAAGTTAGTTACAGCTGGTTAAGTTCAAGCCCCTTTTTCTATACCTCGACACTCGACTTAATGATGTTGGCAATTGGTTAGTTTTACAAAGGTAATTGTTCCAAATGCGTATCAAACAGAAAGTATCACTACAAGAACAACATCCAAACAATCAACGGCACAAACAAATAGCCAAGGAATCTTGCCATCTCTAATGTCATGCTTTAATGTTATGGGAAAAGTTGTTATTCATCGTAACAATCAATGCAATAGATAACCTCACTCTTAATCATGAGACAAACCATTAAAATTTCATTTACTGTTCTGTGAAACTCAAGTTGAAAAAAAGAATTAGGAGTATGTAAGTAAGTCTTTACCCAACGGCTCCCAAAAGTGAAGGTAAACGGTTTATCGAACTAGAACGATCTTTCCCAGACATAATACTGCAGAGAAAAAGATGTCAAATAAGTATTCAGCAGTGACGAATATCACGACCATATTTATGAAACTTGAGCACAAGATGATTTCATCATCTCACAAGATAACAAAGGTGTTGGAAGCTCATTCAAATCTCCCATAACAACTTTGACAGGTGCAGCCAAAGTTGTTCAGGCAGTAAGAAGAGAAAGCGGAGGGACGTTACTCGTGACGAAGTAGAACATGAAGAGAGTACTACCAAAGTCACTCTAACACAAGGACCACTGATCTTCCAACAGGAACAAGAACAAGGAGGCAAGTTCACATATAATGTGAAGAGATAAGGATTGAAATATATGAGTTTTTATCCAAAGCTTGTGTTGAAGATATAAACAAAGCTGTCTTGCCTAAATTTCAAATTTAAAAAGTTTGGAGTGATGTTCATTCTCGCTCAGTTTTAATTACTCAATAGTTCACAATTATCGTTACGAATTAGAAAATATTTAACAATTAATCCACGAGCACGCGTTGGATATGAGATGAAAGATAGCCAACGAGGCGCGTAGCGCCGAATTGGCTATAATCATCTCATATCCAACAAGCGTGAGTGGAATAATTGTTTCATTAAAAAAAACGCCCCAAGATATTAGACAAATCTTCTCGACTTTATTTTATGAGAAGAAACCGGCTTTTACAATGTACAGATATTAGATTGTGGTATATTGACTCATATACCATAATGGCTAAGCCAATAAAAAGTCTTGAGTTGCATTATCCAATGATCCAGTTTTTAATAAAAATAATTACGAGGAAAAGTTTCAAAACAAAACTTTAAGAGGAACATTTAACTTCTGTATGTGACATGTTCATGTTTACTGTTGTCAAAATAAAGATGACTAGCATTTTGAAAATAGGTAAACCAGGTGATTTTGAGTTAACTTATCAGTTTATTTCCGCTTCTTGCTTATAGTTATTAAGTTATTTCCTTTTCTCTTTTCTATGACTAATTTCATTAACAGAAATATGAAAGATAAGATTGAGTGATCGTTTAATGTTTTTCCCTTTCCTTGGTCCTTACTTGAGCCTTGATTCGTCGCCTTCTTTCACATTTCAGACACAGATCAAAACAAGCAAACTGCACTAATTGGCGGCCTAGCAGGCGCTGGAGGATTTGCTCTGATTGCAGTTGCTGCATTGGCTGTTTTATTTGTCAAGTACCGCATTGCACGACGGTTCATGAATAGGAACAAGGTTGGAGACCAGTACGCAACCCAAGATGAACAACTAAGCAGAAGAAATGCTTACGTTCAGCCTGAAGACATGGTCGAACATGAAGACTCCTTCTAAATATACGCTATTCTTCTGCATCGTGTGTTTGCCTCCATAACAAACAACCCAGTAGATACTTAATGCTTCATGACTCAGAATAAAAGACCACTAAGAGAAGTGAAGAAACTTAGCCTCTGTTATTCATCAAAGGTTACAATTTGGCAAATATTCGATGAAACCAGTTGTTAAATTAAAAGTAACAATTTAGCGCTTAAACTATGCTTCCCAGACTGCTCACATAGTTTTCCCTGTTCCTTTTTTCACGCCAACCACCTCGCTCTGAGTTTTGATTTCAAATAGTACACTGGGATGGATCTATAGAGCACGCGTCACACAATCGTCACAAATCAAAATTTGCAGTCAATTTAATTTACCACCTAGTCATTACGCCAAGTCCAGGATTGAAGCTGTTCTGATTCTTAACCCTTGTATTTGGTTTTATCTGCGTTCGGACGTGAAGGTCATAAAGGTATTGCACTAGATTATTTTCGATTTCTGAGCAAGGCAAATCATTTTTTGCTCAGTTAATTTTAATGTCAGTTGTCTTAATGGTACTTGAAGTCGAAAGGAAGCGACCGAGGGCCGCTATATCAGATCAAAATTACTTGAAAATCGACGTTTTGGACAACGTTGAACGAAAAGAGAATTGAGTGTTCTTCATGTAATCGGAGAGCGACCACGAATTTTAAACTGCTTTCCTAACGTATACCAAAGGTTGATCCCTGATACTGAGTAACAATAAGAGGAATCTTAATTTCTAAGGCAAAAAAAAATCTTGAATCCCTCAGAATCGAAATTGGCCAAGTCATCCTCCTCACGAGAGGTTTTCAACGGAAAGTTAACTCGCGTACGTTTTTGTTCCCCTTTCATTTTAACCATCTCCATGGCCATGGCAGAGGGTGCGGTTGGACCTTATTAAGGGTAAGAACGCCGATAGTGACCGACATAAACAATGTGATCAAGTTTCTAATTCAGCAATTTTTGAAACATCATTTTGTTCAGAGCATGGCGTGTCTGTGACATGTGGCAAAACAAGGGAATCACTTTAATACAAAGCTACTGAAACCGAGTCGCATCTTTTTATTAGCACATCCTCGAATGGCTGTGACACAACGATTCTTAAAACAAAAAAGGATTCCATCTTTTTTAAACATCGTCTACGACTACGCTTAACGGATTGGCAGTGTGATTACACGCGAACACGACTTTGAACTTTCATTTAAATGCAACTATTCTGCAGTAGATGAAGTCACCTAAGAGCGATGTCTCAAACTACGAAGGTCTTCCAGAGAGACGCCCATTACCACCCTTAGGTAAGTATAGGAATGGTTGGTATGTGATGAAATAGAATTTCAAACCTCTCAATACAAGTAACTCACGGAAATTGTTCCCTGTGCTCACTGACATTTATAACTTGTCGATAAAACAGGGTTACGTTCCAGCTCAGTTGAAGGAATCACTGGTCCGCCTCCCAAGTCTGTGGACAATGATTTAAGACCGATTACTCTCACTGCTCAGATAGCCAGAATCATGGATCGAAGGTTTCACACTTAGCTCCCTGTATAGCCAAGTCATTACTAACACTGACCCTTTGCAATTTTCCATACCGGGAAAATCAACGACACATGGCTCAATTTACATTTACACTGTATTTTAGAAGCCCTAGACTCTGGACACTGTTATGCTAGGATTTTATTTGCTGACTTTAGCAAAGGGTTCGACCTTGTGGACCACAATGTCCTTTGCACTGAATTGCGTAATCTTGGTGTACATAATGTCCTAATTTCAGTGGATCGGATCATTTTTGTCAAATAGATCGCAGTTTGTTAAAATAGGTGGTGCTACCTCGGGTCATGTCGTACCTCGGGGTGGTATTCCCCAAGTCACTCAATTGGCCCCCTTGCTGTTAGCAGTACTTGTTAACAGCCTTCCCAGGAAAATGGAAGATCAGGGCTAAATGTGTCGACGACCTTTCAGTTGTAGAGATTATAGTTAGGTGTTCCACCAGTGTTCTTCCATTCACTGCAAGAGATATTTACACTTATGGTTTGAACCGAGCAGTAAAGAGAGAAAAATTTCAACTCCCAACAGCCCCTGAGATTAAAAGAATAAGAGCCATGACGGAGCACTCAGAAATGTGCTTGAGAGAGCCCAAAATAAAGCGGCTAAGCTGAAGAAACAGAAGTTTCTCGAAGTTGTGTATGTAAAGAGAGACACGGGGGGTTCTGAATACCGCAACACCGCAAACAAACTAGAACAAACACCGCATCACCGCAAGAAATATTATCAACACACCTAAACCGCAATCTAGTCTCAGGATTTACTCATCTTTACTACGCGCTGGTCTTTGGCTGGCCGATAGTGCGTGTGCTATAGGTCCAGAGGTCAATTAAAATAATAACGAACACGGCCTGGGGTTAGTCAGCTAATGTTCATTAAAGTTTATTTGAATGTGTCCCTTAATTTGTTTGAAAATTAACCACAGGTTATCAAAATCTAGTTTTTATAAGGGTTAAAAAATAAACTGCAACACCTGAAATTGTTTATTTCACCGAACGCGGTCGATTTGAAATCACAAACATTGTACACCTTGAGGTTTGAGATCACCACAACACCGCATTGCGGGTGGTTCTTATCGCAATACCGCTTTAAAAATAAGGGTCAACACCATAATACCACAACCCCAATTGTAATATCCCACCCGGATGGTTCGGATTTAACCAGTAACACTCGGATTAAACCAACACACATTAACTTAACAGTTTAGTGGCAGACAACGTGTTCTAACAACAACTCTCGCACGCATGCGCCAATGGGTAATACACTACACCAATGTTCCTCTCCATATTGGTGACAAATTATCAAAGATGGGATCAAACCTAATGAATCAAAGATTGATGCAATCCCCAACTTGCCATTCCCACAAGACAAGAAGGATGTGAAGCGCCCACTAGGTATGTTAACCTACTTAATTTCATCCCAAACATAAGCACTTTAACTGAGCTGCTAAGAGTCCGACTCAAGTAATAGGTACATTGACACTGGGAGGAGTAGCAAGAAAAAGCTTTAAATGAAATTAAGAAGGTCCTAACCTCAAAACCAGTACGAACCTACTATATGTGAACGAGCCTGTAAAGCTTTTAGTACATGCATCCTAATCAGGACTTGAAGCTGTCTTACCTCAAGATAATCAGCCTGTGTCATCTGCATTAAAATCCCTGACTGATTGTCAGAAAGGGTATCCCAAATTGAGAAAAAAACACTGACAATATTTGGATGCGAACGCCTTTATCAGTGTCTGTATGGCAATGAAATAGAAGTAGAATCTGATCACAAGCCACTAGAAGCAATATTCGCCTAACCAATTGCAAAAGCACCAGCCAATATACAACGCTTACTGCGTCGATTGCAGCACTACTACCTTGAAGTGAAGTACGTCCCAGGAAAACTAATGTTCATACCACTCACACTAATAAAGGGATACCTGATGCTAAAACTGAGATTGAAATCCATTTCTTGATAGCCAATCTCCCAAATTCAAAAAAAATGAAAGATTTTCAAGAAGCAACAAAAGCAGATCCAACCCTTCAGAAAGTTGCACAGCTGACCTAACAAGGATGGTCTAAACACAAACATGAAATTCCTGTTGATGCAACACCATAGTGGATTTTCGAAGACGGACTCCATGAAGCTGACGGAATTCTGTTCAAAAATCACAAACTGATTGTTCCAGAATGTCTGAGACCCGAATTGCTCAGAAGAATCCACGAAAACCACTTGAGAATTGAAAATAGCACACAAAGAGCCCATAACATCCTGCACTGGTCAAAAATACATGCACAGATAAAAGATCTCATTGCAAATTTTAGTTCATGTCTATAACATATAAAGAAAAATACCGAAGAGCCACTGATACAGTAACAACTCCCACATAGGCCCTGGCAAAAGATTGCGTGAGAACTAGCCACCCTTGATGGAAAGGATTATCTTCTAACTGTCGACTGTTACTCAAAATGGGTAGAGATTGGCTTGCTGCGAAACAGTACCGTTAGTTGTAAAGTCATCACTCAACTTAGATCCAACTTTGCACGTTATGGGATGGCTGATGAAGTCATTTCTGACAACAGCCCTTAGTTTTCATTAGTCTTGGACAATGAACTGCGGACAGTGTTGATATTTGAATTGTATGTTTATTACTCAGCATATTTGTTTAGAGGGAAGATGCCATGATATATGGATTATGTCAATGAATCACTAGGTCTTTTTTAAACATCGCTAACACAAATATTCAGATGATTTGGTGTACAATCTGGTTCCCAGGTTCAACTTACTGCACACTATAAAAGATCATCACCTCCACATGAACTGATGGTCTTACAATGGACCTTCTCTCAACAAAAGGGGCCTTTGAAATCATATCATTTGAACGTTTCACTGCCAAGGTCTTTCTCTTTAAATGTGGCAATTCTTTGGAACAAACCATGCAATGAAGTAGATAATTGCACCATCTCAAGTTTATTTTGACACAATTAGACAAAAACAATCTAATTAGTATGTGATTTGTTAGATGTTATCACCATTAACAAAACAACTACCAATTCCTATAGATAAATATTTTTAACATGTCAATTTTGATTTGCTAAGTTTATAGTTTTCTTAGGATCATGTGCAACACTTTTCAACACACTAGCTAATACCCTCAATAAGGATTACCAAGATCTTTATTATAATCGTAATTATTAATTACTTTATTAGTCAAGCCTCTTTTGAAGCCATTCAAACTTGAGTTATTTACTTTGACAGAATACTGACTCCATTATCACATTTCAACCATCTTTCTCATATCATTTTCTCCTGTATGACCTCTCCTGTCTCGAAATAAATGTCAGTTTTCAGAAAGATAAGGCAATCTCACCCTCAGGCCTGTAATCTATGAAAGCTCTGCACATGCTACACCTCACACATCCTACAATGAGGGAAGGACTCTCAACTATAATCCCTAAAAGTATTTACAAAATTTGTTAAAATTGGCCCGCTTCGTTTAATAACAGTGATAGCAATTATTTACAATTTTAAACCTTACATCTATTTACAAATTTTTAAAATTAATATTAATGTTCACGATAGAAGACTGATTACAATATATGAGAAAAGAAAAAATTAAGCATTACTAAATAGGAAAAACTATTAAAATAATAAAGACAATGTATTCAATGAAGACATGTATTTGTAGTACAGTGTGGAG